AATATTAGTATTATATATCATAGAAACTCGTTAAAAGATAATTTAAGTGATGGAGATGCTCTAATGTGTTTGTTTAGTAAACCGCCATTATTTAAAAGAAAACTTGATTGCTTATTTGGGCTTAAGGCCCATATATATATCATTTGGTTCCACTAGCAGCACTAGGCTAGGGCATGTAGTTTTGCTAGCAGCGGAATTCATGTAATCCCCAAATTAAGTCTCATAGTTTTTCATGGTTAGATAGATATTTGGAGACTTTTTACATTTTTTTATTCTTTTTAGTTAATACATTAAGTGCAGGTAATGATTGGTCTCTCCGAAAAACAAAGAGCTGATGATTGATGCTTAACCTGCTAAGATTATAAGGTAATCCACATATATCAAATTTTTATATTTTTTTTTGAGAAAGAAAGGATCAAATAGATATATTAAGCTGGTCATTTTATGTGAACTTGAATACACTTTAGTTAGTATAATGTATCATTTTCTAAGAAAGAACATATATAGTGTATATTCGAGAATATCAGTCCATCCAACTCAAGGAAGTAGAAGAACAACTATGTTTGAGAGATTAGGTAAACAATCGGCGTGATGGAAGTTGGAGTAGCTGCAATGTTTCTACAAAGAATTTTTTATGAGTTTATAAGAAACATGGCATCTCGGACGATTAAACTGCTCGAGTGTCGATCTTGAACAATTATCTAATGTTTAGATCGTCTAATAAAACTTTTCGTTTAGCCTGCACTCAAATTATTAATGGGTCTAGTCTGCAAACGGCCAGTGCCTTAGACATAACGATAACGCCAAAATCACCACGCATGTGTCAAGAACACTAGTTAGTACTCATACATATATTAGATATATATGATAATCGACAAAGTCACAAAGTAAATCAAAGTCCAACATCTATATTATTTCTCGCTCATCTGGAAATGTAGTAATTTAAGTTTTTAGTCACTTAGACTAACGATTGTGCCCAATCAATTACTATATAAGTTACCATATCTAATTAATCATCACAAAGAATTCCATTATTGTGTTTAACTTTGAAATTTTCTATACTAACATATGCTATAAAAAAGACTATGATTTGAGCCAACTACAGAATGCAAACAATAAAATTCAACGCCAGAGAAGAAACTTGCAAAAAAGTAAATTCTTTTAAACTACAAATATAGAATTTAATTGTATCCATCAAACAAATTAACAAAATAGAATATTTAGCATATCATCATTGAATTGAAGAAGTAGGTAAGAAAACCCTCTCGATCGTTCAAACAGACAAATGTCTACATTATATATGTCAAAGATTTGGAACATGGAGCTCAAATTTTTAATGCATAAAAGAAACTCCAAATACCTCATAATAAGGGAGGCTCATGGTCATCAGTAGCAGATGTAATCGTATAGAGAAAAAGATGAAATAGGGTTTGATCTCTCCTCATCTCCTGATGCTATTGAAGTTGTGTTGTGTTCTCTTGGTGTCACCATTCCTGGAATTAGCAAATAAAGAGCCAACATTAGAAGTTTAATTAAAAAAATCAAGAATGCATTAATTAGGGTTTCTAATTAAGACATTGTTATTGCTACCTGTTGTTGAAGTAGTACTTCTTATGAAGCTTAGACTTGTGTAAGATTCCTCTGGGTCTCCTAAGATGGAAGAGGAGCTAGTGTCACTGGTTAGTCCAAGAAACTTCTCTATGATGCTCACAGAATCCATTTGATACTCAACCATGTTCACATTAGTAGTACTCCATTCTTGTTCTTGATTTTCCCCTTCTAGTACTTGTGCACCACTGGTTATCTTAATCTTCCTTGTTTCTTCACGAGGATCTGTCAATGTTTTCGAGGTGTCAATTAGCCCTGATAATCTCATCTTCATCTTAGTCATTGTTCTCTCTCTTGCTCGTTTCCTAGCGTTCTCTCTCGACTCTTTCTTCTTACAAGAGCTCTCCATAGTCTTTGTTCTTCTCTTTGAGACTTTCAAAGTCTCATTCTTCGCCTTTTCTTTAACCTGGAGATGTTCAAAGTCTTCTCCTGATGCAGCCACACTTTCTTTAACTTGCTTGATGGAAGCCTTTGATTTGGAGATAAGCCATTCGATAGTCTTACTCGCTTTGTCGAAACCCAACATGTCTTGAAGATCGAAGAACTTGCGAGCAATTTGAAGAGATAGCCTCATCCTCCGATCTCTAGGACCTTGAGCGGTGCAGATCTTACTATGTCTGTCCCTTTTTTTTCCCGTTCTTCTCCGTGGAATCTTCTCTGAGGTGGTTCCATCAACATACTTCCCCTTTTGCTCAAGCTTCTTGCAAACCTTTCTCGGAGATTCAGCAACATTTGTTGCTGCTTCTTGCTGTTGTAACAAGAATTGGCTTATCAAGAAAGATTCATCAAGAAAATCTGTAGAGAAAGGCAAAGAAGGAGAAGGGAGGTGATGGTGAGAACTAGGGCTTTGGATGTGAATATTGAAAGAAGGGAGCATTGTTGTTTGATTGAAGGGATCAAAGAGGTCATAGCCATTGGTGTCTAGAGAAGGAAACATTAGATATTGAAGAGAGAAATAGTTAACAAAAACAGAATCTTCTTTTTCCTTTCTTCACTCAAGCCTTTTGGTTCATTAGTGGTTGTATGCTTGTGCTATAAAGGCTGATAGCTAGAGGAAGATGGACAAAAGATATTGTAGAAAGTAAAAAAAAAAAAAAATTAAAGCGTCATACATATTTTTCTTTTTTATCAATACATTAGATCAACTTTAATAGAACGTAGATGAATAGTGGAATAAAATGAATCTATCTTACTCATTTCTCACCGAAATTACAAAGAGATATCTTGTTTACTTTCTAGTAGATTCAGTGAATGTTCATTCAATTTATTCAACATAAATGGTGAAATATCAATATAATATTTAAAAATGTTTCATTCGACAATATTTTATAATAAAATTAAACATAACAAAATATTTATTTTCTAGATGAAATGAGTTGAATATTCAATTCTAATCAACATAAATGGTTATATTTTAGCAAAATTTTGAAGAATGCTGCATTCCACGACATTTTATTCATCTAACTAGGCATTTATATCTTTCAACTTTTGTGACCTAAAAAAAAAAAAAAAATCTTTCTAAGTTTAAATCATTTAAAATTTTTTATTTTACTTATTTAGATACTTTGGAAATATAATTAAAATTAGGTTATTTAGGTAGATAGCCTTATTTTGAGCATAAATTACGTAACAAAATGGTAAACAGGAAGGAATGTAATTAAGGTAACAATATCATTTACATAATTTATTAGAAATGTGAGGTTATTTAGTATTTTTGTTTTT